CATGTTGATAATTAAAACAAAAAATGACCAAACATTTGTTTCATGTGATTGTACTGAAAATATTTAAACTATTCTTCAAGCAAGGCTCTTGTAAAAATTAAAGAAAAAGGAAACATTGCAATATATGTAATTAAAAAAAAAACATCCAGTTCGCTAGAAAATTGTACAGGTCACCAAAAGTTATTTGCAAATCCATTAATTACCATATATGATACTACAACAACAACAACAACAACATTAAGCCTTCATGGCTTCATCGCATTACATAGGGTCGGCTACATGAATTTTTTTTCTCTATTCTATCCCATTAAGAGTCAAATTTTCATTTAAATCTAATAAAAAAAATATCATTTCTAATACTTTTTAACCAAATCTTTTTAGGTCTAACTATATCTTTTTAACATAGGCCGGATTAAATACATCTACTCTCCTAACCAGGTCATCAAAAGGCTGATGTTTTATGTAATCATACCATCTAATGTGACTCTCTCTCTAATCTTATCTACCATTGGAGCTACTCCAACCTTTTCTCGTATCTACTCGTTTCGCATTTTGTCTCTAAGTGTGAAACCACTCATCCACCTAAGCATCCTCATCTCTGCAACACTAAACTTAATGTTATGCTTCTCTTTTATAGCCAACATTCTGAGACATAAAGCATTGCAGGTCTCACCACCATCTTATAAATTTTCACTTAAGTTTGCGGAGAAGTTTCCTATCACACAACAAGCTATATGGATTCCTCCACTTCAACCATCCAACTTGAATTATGCTAATAATATCTCTATCTATTTCACCATCACTTTGAACAATAGACTCAATATATCTAAAATGCATAGTTTAAAACTGCGCAATAAGAGGCGCGCCTCTGCGCAATTCGGACCAAAAACACCTCATTGCCTAAGCAATTTTGGTGTTTGCTGAGGCTTACACCTCAAGCTTAGTGAGGCGCGCCTCAATTGCGCAATTGCACAATTTATGATGAGGCGTGCGCCTCATAGAAAGGGTCCCACTCACTTAACATAAAAATGAATTTTGTCTCTCCCTTCTACCGGTCCAAGCCAAACCGCAAGCTCCCGAACCCGCAAGCCTTCGTTCCCGATCCCGCAAGCTCCCGAAGCCGGCTATCCCGCATGTCTCCACTACCTCTCCCGCTGGCGCCACCGCTTGCTGGTGAGTTCCTTATTTTCGGCCGCCCCTCTACATCACTTCTTGAAGAGTTCTTAGAGTTTTTTTTAAGTTTAGGGTATGATTTTTCAACTTATAGGAAAGCTAGGGTTTTAAATTTTTTTGAGTTTTTTTTTTGTTTTTTTCCTTTAGAAATATGGTTAAGGGAAAGGAAAAGTGTAATACGTCATTGCAGAGGGACCCTTCTTAGAAATACAGTGTACAAGTTGACATAGGTGGCGGTGAGAAGACTTATGTTTATTTGAAATGCAATTTTTGTGAAAAAGTGGTGAAGGGCGGAATTACCCGCATGAAGGAACACTTATCATGCTCTCATAAAAATGTAGCACCGTATGCAAATGTGCCGGACAAGGTTAAGGATGAAATTATTGATTACATGAAGAAAAATACAACGACAAAACACTTACAACATGAGCAATTTGATGAAATGATCGAATATGGTGCTTACTTCGGGAGCGATAGTAGAAATGACTCTTCCTCCACTATACATAATAGAGGTGCACGGGGTCCGATGATCTAGTATATGAATAATCCAGGAGAGGATAGAGGACAAGCACATACGATGCCTGCAGCTCATACTGGAGAGGGTCGACACTAGGTTTGCATGGATATTGGCAGTTTTTTTTTTTTTTTTTTTTTTTTTTTTTTTTTTTTTTTTTTGAGAATGTCATACTATTTAATGTTGTGACATCGCCGGCCTACTTCAATATGTTGCGGTCTGTAGGGTTGTATGGGAGAGGGTTAAAGGAACCTTCCATGTACGAGTTGCGAACATGAATTTTGAAGGAGCTGCAGAACACAAAGCATAGCATTGATGAGATTAAACGGACATGGATTGAGACTGGTGTTACCATTATGCCAGATGGAGGATCTGACATGAAGAGCAGGAGAGCTTGATTAATATCCTTGTCAACAATCCCTACGGCACGATATTTTTACGATCAGTTGAAGCTTCAGATGAGGTTAAAAATGTTGCATTCATTTTCAATTTACTAGATGGGGTTGTTGATGAGATTAGGGAGCAATTGGTTGTTCAGGTGGTGACTGACAATGCTAATGCATACAAAGCAGCTGGTCAGATGTTGATGGAGAAGAGGAAACACCTATATTTTATAGGTTTTCCACATTTTACTTGACACTGCAGAGCTTGTTTGATGTGAGACAACCTCTTGAAGCAATGTTTATATCAACAGAATAGCTTAATTCTGTGTGGGGGAAGAAAACTGAGGGAAAAGAAATACGAAGGATAATTCTAAATAATAAATTTTGGGCTACTGGGACCTATGTCATATTGAGCACGAGACCCTTGGTGCAAGTTCTACGTTTAGTGGATGCCGAGAAGAAACCAACCATGGGTTTTATTTATAATGCTATGGATGAGGCGAAGGAGTTGATTGCACATAACTTGGGAGGAGAGGAGGCAAGTTATAGAGAGATTTGAGATATCATTGATGCTCGGTGGAAGGTCCAGTTACATCGTCATCTACATACAGCGGCATATTATCTCAATCCTCAATTTCAATATTCAGAGAGGAAATCCTCAAACCCTGAGGTGAAGCTTGGCTTGTATCATTGCATGGAATGACTAATACCGGACCAGACCGTTAGGGAGCTTGCAGATTTACAACTTGTTCTATTTCGAAATAGGGAGGGATTTTTTGGTCTACAAACAGCAAAATCAATTGTTGTCAAACGGTCTTTAGGTATACTTATTTTTGTAAATGCATAACACTTGAATATATTTTGATTATCATTTTTCTTCTTGAAAATAGTTGAATGATGGATCCAATTTGGTGATTCAATCCCTGAGTTACAGAGTTTTGCTATTAGAGTTTTGCGCCTCACTTGTTCTTCTTCTAGGTGTGAGCGAAATTGGAGTACATATAGTCAAGTGCAAACAAAGAGAAGAAATCGACTTTCAACACTAAGAATGAACTCCCTTGTGCATATTATGCACAACAAGAGGTTGAGAGATAGGAGGTTGAGGAATAAGGGGTTGAAGGATAATGGGATCTGTTGGTGTGTGATGATGTGTCATCTGATAATGAGTGGTTCATAGATGATGAGCCAGATTTTTCATTATCAGACCTGCAGCTAAAGGATCTAAGTGTGGATGTCTTGAGAGGCAAAGCAGATCAAGTGGACACATCCACTAATACCACATCACACACATCCACTAATTCTGCAGCACAACAACCAAATAAAGATATTCCACAACTTCTTATATGATATTGCATTATATTTATATCAAGAGAGTAATTAACATGATAATGATCATTCTTATTGAACAGGGAAGAGAAAAGTGAGTCACATTGAAGATGATGAAGATATGACATTCATAGATACAATTAGAGAAGAAGATTCCCTTGAAGATCCATTTAGTAATGGGATATGATTAGATTTTATATGTTCTTTCTTAATTGTACTTTGGAAGTTTTGATAGGCTAATATTTTATGATTTTGTACCTTAGGACATGATTTTATTACATCTATTTTTCTTACTTTCCACTAATTTCACATGTCATTTAGATGTTTTATTGTATGATAGAATCTTGCTATTATTTACCTACTAAAACCCTTAAATTCTTATATACGCAATTCTGCGTCCGTGAGGCTTACGCCTCACACCGCCTCAAAGCTTATTTACGCAATTTTAAACCTTGCTAAAATGTGTAGTTTTTTTAATGACCTGATCACCCAATGTCAAAATTCCACTATTAGATTTATTACTACTAAAATAACACTATGTATTCAGATTTAGATCCACTCAAATAAAACGTTTAGACTCTAAGGTTGGCCTTAATAATTCAAGTTATCCTTCAACTCCCTCTCTAGTCTTATCAACAAGAAGAATCTCATCAATAAAAAGCATACACCATGGTACATCCTCTTGCAAATGTCTAGTAAAAGATAAGAGCTGAAAGGTGATCCTGGATGCAATCCAATTGAAATAGGAAAATAATTGGTCAAACCACATTGCATTTGAACAAAAGTACAACTTCCATATACATATCCTTAAATAACTTTAATATAAGCATTATTAACTCACTTCCTTTCTAGAACTCTCCAAAACACTTATCTTGAAATTCTATTATGTTTTTTTCTAAATCAATAAATATTATATGCACTTCCTCTTTACTCTCTATATTTTTCTCCATCAATCCTCTCAATATATATATATATATATATAGCTTCCATAGTAGACCTACCTGACATGAATCCAAATTGATTTTGAGAAAAATTAGTATCACATCGTAAACTATGCTCAATTACTCTCTCCCATAATTTTAATGTAATACAAATTAGCTTAATTCCTCTATAAATCACTAGTGCAAACGTTGACCAAAAAAGGCATGCTAAGTGCCTTGCCACGAGTGTTACTGGAGGATAAATCCCACCTTCAAGTGCTAATAGAAATGATGTTGCTAAAATCTAATAAGATGAGAGTGCTCATATTTATTTAGTGCCATCTCGGAATCAAATCAATAAATAATAAATTCAATTGAAAATATAAGCAATTTGACTAACCAGGGAAAATAAGCAAGAAGGAAAATTCTTGCAAACTTAGAAACAAAATAGACCTAAACTTCAAAACATGTATAGACTGCAAGATTTAGTTAGCCAATCATCTTTAAAAAATAAAAAACAATCAATCAAAAAAAATGTCAGGTAATTAAAAGTGAAGTGCAAAGTGTATGGTTCTGCTATTTATTAAGCTTGAGGATAACAAGAAAGGCATGACACTTAGAAATCTCAAGTGTCCATGGAAGTACAGCTGTATAAAAAAATAATCAATCTGAGTTTTATTATATCAATTCTTGTAAGTGATGAGATGCTCCTCTCTTTTTTTAAATAAGGTATTAGCAATAATAAAATCATAAGCTAGAGTAAAATCTAATATAATCCTACCACCTTCAATAGTCGCTTCAAACCCATAGCCACCATAAATGCTTTTAAAATTTTTTGTCACTCTACCGGCATGTCCATTTAAATCCCCTCCAAAAAAATTATTTTCTTTAAAAGGTTTGCTTTGTATTAATTCTTTCAAGTCATTCCAAAATTTTAATACATATTCAAACCTACTTGAGGAGCATAACGTTTATAATATTAATAATCTTAGCATCAACAGTAATTTTTAAAAGTATAATTTTATCTTCAATTCTAGTAATTTCAACAACGTTATCCTTCAAACTCTTATCTATAATTACACATACATCATTTCTAACACAACTACTACCTAAATATCATAGTTTAAATCATAAACTATTATTTTACTTAGCCTTCTTCCCAACCCATTTAGTTACCTGAATGCATAAAATACTTAACTTCCTGTGAATCATAAAAACTATTAATTTCATTAATTTTCCTGTAAGAAAACATATATTCCAAGTTCTTATCATAATTCTAGTTTCTTGGACTAACTTTTTTGCCAACATCTGCCCATGATATAAGAACTCTTGCTTATTTAACACTGCAGCTGGGCGCCAATGCAGCGATCATTGCACACTTATCACTGTATTCAGGCCATACAACGCATCGTTTCCATACAAATTGAATATTTTCATAAAAATTATATTTATAAAAGCAAACAATATAAAAATACAAAGACATCTTAAATTTTTTGAGGGGGTATATGCCCCCTCTTCCTCCACACCCCAACTCTCCCTCTCTTAAATCTACCTTTGTTTGTTACCTTATGTTATTTTGATTTTGCAATTAAAATCTACTATTACAATGATAGTTTCTCTTAACGTTATACTAACATATTATATCATTGCCATTAAATTTATTGCAGCATCTTCAGTTGAGATGTAGGTGTCAAAATCAGATTTTTCCCAATAATGAAAACCATGGAAAAATGGTCCAACAACTCTATTTTAGCGTCCAAGATCCCGATATATACACCAAAATTTCACCCGCAGACAATCGTATTTATCCTGCACCTAATCAATTCACTGCCTTTGCCATAAGCAAAATGTCCTAAACCTAGGTAAGTGATCCATAAGTGAAAGAGACAGAAAGAAATCCATCAAAATAAGTTGTTGAAATAAGGGATTATTCCTTCACTTTCCCTCTTACCATCCCTCCTCAACACTTTGACAGTTTAACCATTATGCTGCTCTTAACACAAAACTATTTTGAATATGATAATTAAAAGTAAGGAATCATATGGCAATATATTAGACATAAATAACAAATAATTAGGCTGTCTGGCTGAGCAAGGAAAAACCTAAGATAATTCCAAAATCAATATTAAACTGAAAAGGTTATAAAACTTAATAAATCAATTTGCATACTTTCCGAAAAAAAAATGTATACATCAATTATGAATTTGCTGTTCTTTTTCATGAATTTAATTTATTTCCATTTTGATAATAGTTTCAACAGTAGTAAATTTACTCGAAAGTGAAAATTTAAAGTTTCATGCTTTTGACATCCTACAATTATACAGGTTGACGCTAGCACTGTGTAGTAGAGATATTTTTAGCCATTAAATCATCTTAAGAGCTGAACATACATATTCTATCCAATCAGACCATGGCATTCATAAGAACAAAACTTCTAATTAGAAATTCATGTTTAACAACTTAACAGGAAAACTATATAGGTTTGTTCTGGCAAAATGCTAGAACAACTAAAATACTGAAGCATCAAATTTTAATCCTTCCACAAAAAGGAGAATAATGCGGGATAGTTTATCAAAGACTGGATGCCAAGTAAAAGGATTTCCTTGGCATTTCATTAAGCACTTCATAAGAGAAGAATGTTTAAAGATACAAATAAACCAAGAAAGCAGAAACTCACTCTTGTAATCAGTCCAAGTACCATAGGCAAACAACCGAAGCAAGTCAAGAGAACTAGAATATTGAGTCCCTTCAAGCTACATTGGAATATAACACATCTTAGATATCCACATTTATGCAATTTAATGATAAGCACTAATCAAAAACGAAGACTGCAAGGGACCATAATATATAAACGGTTAAATCAACTCCATCTCTTACAAAAACAAAGAACCACAAATTCTCTGAATCAAAATCCAAAAAGAGAGAACAAAAGTTAATAAATAACACAGTACAAGGCATCACCGTGGAGAGATTAGGGACGGAGAGAATCTCAGAAAACGCGAAGAGCGACGGATGCGACGTCGCCTCTATTAGAAGAGCAGCAAGAGACGCCCCTTCAAGATTTCCCGCCTGCTTCACGAATTGCTGGAGTACCTCCGACTGCTGCTGCTCAATATCCATGGCCAGACGACCAACTCCTGTTCCTTCGATCGCCCAGCTTCTGCGCAGTAATTTCTTTCAGATTCCACAAAAATGTTCGATTCGTGATGTACTAAGTGGAAAACGATATCAAACGAGATGAATTGTATCGTTGGTTGAGGAAGAAAATGAGAATAATCGAGTTAGGGTTTTGCAGCGATTTGCTCTTGTAGGAACTTCCGGCGTTTTGCTTGCCATGCGTGGCGTGTATATGTAAAGACGTAAGGTTTATAATAATTTAAAATGTAAAAGAAAATGAAGGTTTGTTTGATCCAATAATAATTTGTATTGGACTCTCAAAGTTATTGTATTATATTATTATTATTGTGTTTATAATACTTAAAAAAATTATTAGGTTAGTGAAGTGTTATTTAAAATTGAAATATTATAGAGAAAATGAGTGTTTACTATTGAATAAAAATTTCATATAAATAATATAAACAAGTAAATCCTACGTCCAAGCGTGCGGTTCCCGTCTTACACATGTGATATGTCTTTCGTGTTCAATTCATCATCCCCTATAGTTCTGCTTTCAGCAAGCTGCTCAAGTAATCGAATTGAGCAGAGGACTGTTCTAGCTCAAGCTCAATAAGGCAGTCAACCTCAATAAGGTCGTCGAGCTCGACTCGCGAGCTAAATAAGCTTAACTCGTTAACCCTATTAAATAGTCGATCCCGAGCCGGCTCATGAGTCGGCTTAAGTCGGTTGCACCCCTAGCATCAAGCATCAACCTTGTCATTTTTTCTTACTGTAGGGGAGACCTTAAAACAAAAAATGAGGGTCATTGACTTTGGTAGAACTGATTGTTATTAGTCATATTGGTAGCGACATATTTTGTCGTTCCCATCGACATAACAAGCAAGCATTTTTAGTGATGGTGGGAATTAATGTTAATGTCACTAGCAGTTGTTGGCCTTATTGGCAATAACAAGCATCACTATTGGAAATTGCAACAAGCAATGGTGCAAATTTGCGTTGGGGTCAACAAAGGGTGTTGGCTTTGTAGAAATAATAGGCGTCGAATAGGGGTGTCAATTCGGGTCAGTGGGTCGAGTTCGGGTTGAACCCAGAATTGACCCGGTACTACTAGGGTCAACCTGAACCGATCCGTTTTTAAAAACGGGTCAGGTTTTCGGACCCGAACCCAACCAGATTTCGGGTCCGGGTCAACCCAACCCGACACGGATGACCCGAAGTTGACCTAAAGCTAGGAGGAATTCCATAATATGAAAGAGAGTGTAGCGTTCATAAGAGACACTATAGTTTTTACATGGAAACCCCTAAAAACGGGAAAAAATCATGGGATCTGGCCCAGTTTGAATGAAACCACTAGTGTTTGCAATCAATTACAAATTAGGCCCTTCCTTGGGGGAAGGCTTTAGTTTGATGTAGCAAATATACATCATATCGAGTGCATTACACGGTGGAAATTGGAATAACAGACATTGATTTGTTTGTTTGATCAACGGGACCATAGTTGGCTGGCAATGAAGGTTAGAAGGATCAAAGTCAGCGGGCGACGGAGGTTCGAAAGATCATTATCTAGCAACGGGGGTCGGAAGGATCAAAGTTGGCAGAGGAGGTCGAAAGAACCGTAGTTGGCATACAATAGAGGCTGAAATTCAAGTGATGCGTGGATGTTTAGCGTTGGGAAGAAGATCGATGAAAGTCCAACGACGGGCATAAGACATGCGTCGGGTAGAAATCTGGCGATCGTCGGCGGCTGGGTGTAAGTTCGGCAGCTGTCGGTGACTAGGCGGTGGCCCATCGAGGACCAAGCTTAAGTCCGGCGGTGGTCAACGACCAGGTGGTGGTTCGACGATGATCGGGACAAAATTCAGTGGTTGTCGATGGTCAGGTGGAAGTCCGGCGACAATCAGTGGTTCGTTGATAGTCGGGATGGAGTGATATGGTGGTCGACAGTCGGGTGGAAGTCTGATGATGGTTAGTGGATGAGCAGTGGTTCGACGACGGTCAGGCTGATGTCCGACGGCTATCGACT